TCAGTGGCGTTCTTGTTGTCAGTTTCTGTCCAGATTGCCTGAGTGAATGTCTGGAGGTGTAGGCACCTCGGAATGATTGTGTTAAGCTAGCTCTAAGTCCCTTCCCCGTCCTCATTTACTCTTCTCTTTACAATAAGGCTTTCAACTGAGTCATGGTTGTACGGCAGTGAAGCATTGGTGTTGAACACTGATGTCATGCTGTCGATGATTCTCAATCGCAAAACGTCTAACATCACGTGATTCTTACGTTGGGATGTTTGCGGTACCAATCCGCCAATCCCAAGTTTTCCAGTCACCACTTACGCAGGTGATTATTTCTGGCTTAGAGGCCAGTCCTCCCCTCCTGACATGTAGTTGACTACTAAAGTCTCAGGATCCATCAACTCGGTGAAGTGTAGTCGACTGGAACAAGCCACCGGAGCTAAGTGAACGCAGTTAGGCCAGACATTGGGAGAAAGCTCAGCAGTTCGGGCGAAGAGTTACTGTCGAAAGGACCTTGGTTCGAAACCAAACTCAGCATCTCGACTGCTTCAGTCTAGACTGACGGCATCCAAGCCCTCGTGCTTCCTCCGGGTGGCATGGCAGCTACGCGACGAAAGGGTGCTACAGCTGAACGATTCACTATCAGCAATGTGTGATTACCATGACAAAAACCGATTTCAAAAAAGTAAATGAGAAACTCACATGGAACAGACGAAAGAGGGCTCGACCACGGTTTGCAACCAGCCGCAACAAACAGTCGAATGCGCCACCATCGGAAGTTTCCGAGTACGGCAGGCAGATGGCAAAAGTGAAGAAGTCCAAAAGGGCGCAGAGGACCAACGCTCCGGTACCGCGTATCTGTCGGCGACGGGGAGTCAGGGAAAAATCAAAGCAATGTACTTCACAGACACTTCATGCGTTCGATAATTCTCGTTCTGAGAGCTGATGGAGAAAACTCACGCACTAAAAATTTGGACAGTCAACCGACCGAAGGATGTCTCGAGTTTCACGGAAATCTATGAAAACTTTGCTAAAGGGACCTCAACAGCCAGACAAATAACAATCGGGTTATCGCAAACGGTACTCAAATTTCTGTCAGCGGGATAGAAAAGACAGAGAGGAGAGTTGTTTAGGTCAATCTGATGAGCGAGAAAGGTGTGCACAGCTCTTCAAGTGGTCACAATGATAGACAGCACAAAACGTCCACTTGTGTGGTGAAGCGAGTCCAGAAAGCAGTAATACTTGACATACTGACATATTGAACAATCACACATGACAGCGAGGTGAACCACTGCGGTCATCGGTACTGATATGGATGGAGATGAATGATTGAATGAAGATGTAGCTTAAAGCATCTTCTTGAAGGTTCAACCTTAACTCTACCCACTCAAGCAGACTTAATCCAATAAACAGGCGCTTACGAATGTGCCCAAGGAATATAGCGAGCAACTAAGAATGAGGTAAACGACTTGAATGAAACAAGCATGGTCTGCTAGTTAGTCGTTGCATTCAAGTTCGTTAGCCCTTTCGGTGCCCAGCTGCCATGTTAGCCGAAGAAGGTGCGAGGGCTGACCTACTGCTAGGTTGTCCAAGCCCAGACAGGGGAAGTCGAGGGGGCGGAGGTCGGGCTCGAACCATGGACCTTCCGGTCAGTATGTTCGTGCCCTGACTATGGAACTGCCTCGAACTCTCAGTCAAGCAGATGGGAAGCTGAATCCGACGGATATCTGCTGGTGGCAGTAAAAAAGCTAATCGGAGATGAAACTGAGACCAGTGAAGCTGTTGCAAGCACTTGCTGAGTATAGAAACCGCCTTACGAGGGGACAGCTGGACAATCAATAAGTGGTAACTCTGAATCACGAGATCAGCAGCCACCTACACAGTTGATTTGAGTGAGATCAACCATCTATAAGTAGCCCAACGAAGGAGTGATTTCACAAGATGAATAAGACTTTCTTCTGAGAAGTCATCACTCGAGGAGCCAGTCAACAAGTGACCATCTGATGTGTTTACCCTGATTGAAAGATGAGTGGAATTGTATGCTGCCTGAGCGACACCGCTGATTAGCCGTTCGTTTGTCGACAGGTTAGGTGTACAACTTAGTAGCCAGGACATCCCGAGTTCTAATTCCTCACAGTTTTGTTAGATACAAACAGCTGATGATTCCTAGTAGGGATTAAACACCTGTAGAGTGAGTTGGAAACTCCGTGCACGGCTTATCAGCAGACAGTGGCTTCACTTAGATGACGAAACCTCAATGGAGAATTCACGAGTTTCTTCAAAATACTATCAATACAGTAAAATAGTTCGACACAAATGTTGACAGATATGACCGACAGAAGTATATGAAGGACATCCTGTCCGAAAGTCGCAGCAGGAAAGTCGAGCAGTCGTGAACCATCACATGACTGCTTCAGAATACCGGACTGATAAGCCACACCAGGCGGGATCTCGCATCGTGACCTGGTTAGTGAACTATTCGGCGGAAATAATTATCAGACCATTTGCCACTTCCGTTTCATTGTGGATCTTGACCGGTTCGCATCACAACGCAACACAAGTTCTGAAATGACCAATCAAATTGACTGCCAGACAATCTCCAAACAACCAATCAAGTTGAGGATATTAACTACTCTTTAGAAATCATATAAACGAATGTACAAGTGGAAGTAACGCAAACCCAAGCGCACGGTGACGATGTCACTCCGCATGGTAACGAGACGCTTGCAAGCCAAATGACAAACTCGAACAGATCAACCGCCACCTGATCAATAATTGAATCACTAGAGATATCAATACTTGGACACCTTACCAATTCGTAAATTTATTGCTCCAGGTACTGAACGAATACTGATACCGGTTACTTAGCTAACGGGGGTGTGTAAATGAGCAGGACTCACTGGAACGGGACAAGTGTGACGCTGTAGTTGTCTACTCGATCGTTGCCTGTGAATAACGTGAAATCGTTTTTCTCCCTGAGAAACCGAGGTGTTATCACCAGAGGAACTAAGTTCGGTGTCGTGTCCACCTGAACCTTGGAACACGGTCTTTAGCTGGAAACCAACTGACTGGCTGGCCCGATAGGATTATAATATAGAACATAGACGTCCTCTTCATTCGACGCACGTAGCTTAGTAAGCGATGAGAGTGTTATGGGCTACTCCAACGATACCGATCCGGTTTGGGCAGTTTGAATGGCCAAAAATTCACCTACATAGGTTGATTTTGGGGAAGCGTTCCTTTGTGCAGAGCGTAAAGGAAGCCCAGCAGTAAAATATTTGAGACTTGTGGGAATCGGGTTGGTGTTCCTTCCCAAATGGGAACTACTGAACACATGAGGATGGGAACAAAATCACCGTTTCAAAATGGCGATTATGGTTGGATTATACGAACGATTCCCGAACTAAGGCTGTCACCTTGTCGTGAACCAATCGACGTGGGAGATAAATCTGTTTACCTGAGCGGTTGTATAAACTACGGTGGACTGACTGGAGATGAGATTACTCCTCGAATCGGGCAGGCCAGGGCAGCTTTTGCCAACCTCCGACACCTATGGCGCCGACGTGACGTGAGTTTGCCCGTCAAGGGAAGAGTATACACCGCGAGGGTGCGATCCAATCTGCTGTATGGATCAAAGACGTGGCCCCCACGCGCAGAGGACATACGAAAGATGTCGGTGTTTGTTCACCGGTGTCTCCGAAGCATTGGCCAGGTCTGGTGGGAAGGTCGCACTAGTAATGCTGAGGTACGCCAAATGATTCCCGGAAGAAGGCATTGGTCAGGTCTGGTGGGAACGTCGCATTAGTAATGCTGAGGTACGCCAAATGATCTCAGGAAGAAGGAATTCTCCCGCGGTCATTATCCGACTGACTTGCTCTTAAGGCATTACCGACAACATCAGTGGCGAAGTGAAAGGAAAGACTGAGGTAAAGGAACAGAATGTGTTGTGCGGAATGGCGCTCAACTCACCGCGTGTAAGGTGAAAATATCCACCAAACGAGACATGAAGTTCTCACTGGACATGATTGAAGACTTGTTCAGTTGTTCTTGACGAATATCCGGTTGATCGTGCATCGGTTGCATCAAAGTATTGATCGCGTCCAGAACTGCGTGCGTTACCGCATCATCCCGTCGACGTAAAGCTGCGACCACAATTCGACCGAGAGTTACTCGCATTCTGTAGACACGGAAAAATGGAGCGAAAAAAGGAATACAGATGTATTCTGTATAAAAGTTGTCAGGAAGACAACTGACGAACTGGTTGCCGAGTGAGTATGAACGAATGACTGTCTAAAATCTGGTCAGCAAGAAGTCGATGACTGATGTAAAATAATGCACGTTAAGTATTGTTATGTCTTGCTGAACGGTAGTGCAACTCTGTATCGGCCCCTTGGCTTCCTGCTCC